CAAATTTCAATGTTTGTTAGTCAAAATAAGCAATAACCCGTCATTCGTTGCGCGCTCAGAGTTTAAGGTTTTGTAAGGACAACTTTAATTGAATTAGCTGTATAAAACATACGAATGTCTAATGTACGGCCATGGAAGAACTTTTGGACAACTGAAATTCTGTCTGCATTCCTCCGCTCGTGTTGGTTTCCACAGGGGCGTAGGAAGCTTCTAAAAGTTGGGGGGGGGGGAGGCAGGCTTTGAAGGGCACTTTCCGAATAAAAAAGGGCATCATATTTTTCCGGAAATGAAAATAAATTTCCGGAAAATAACATAAATTCTAGTTTTCAAAAGTGCCCTTTGGCAAAAAAAGGCAATCCTTAAGATACTTTTCACGCAAGAAAAGGGCACTTTGCTCCCGGAAAAAGGGCACTTGGCAAAATTTGGGGGGCTGACCCCCCCCCCCCCGGTTCTTACGCCCCTGGGTCTTCACATGGGACTCATGTCCTATTGACCATAGCCTCTTGACCATAGCCTCTTGACCATAGCCTCTTGACCATAGCCTCAATCATATTTAACAAATAGTCGCCGAAGGCGAGGTGATTACAAGCCTATATTCACTGAGCCGAAGGCGAAGTGAATATAGGCTTGTAATTACCGAGCCTGAGGCGACTAATTGTTTTAGTATAAACTTCCAGTTGTTTACAAACAATAATCCACACAACTTTATAAAAATTTACTTCAAATAAATTTAATTTCACCATAAATAGTTTGCTTACAAAATTTAAATCTCAGACACGGCTCTGTGTCGCGTTGCGACTAAGCCAGTTTTTTTCCAAATGAAAGCACGTAAAGTTAAATATTTTACCTTGAAATATTTTTAAACCATATTTTGTAGCTTGTTTGGGTTTTTTCGGAATGCTATCTTCTTTAATTCTGGCAATTTCCTCTTCTGTTACTACGGCAAAACGAGCAGCCATTTTGAAAAAAAACTATAGTCACTGACCAGTGACTATCGCTTCTTGACCAATCTGAATGCAGAAAAATCAATAGTCACCTGGAAATTTATACTAATTAAATTTAGTGTTGCTCAGTTTTTCAAAAGTTTACTTGTAATAGTTTAGCACTTTTAATGAGTAAATAAATAAATCATATATTGCCTTACGTTAGTATGTATATCTTTGAACGCAGGACGAAGAACCGGAGGCAGAATTCTGGAGCATCCTCGGAGGAAAACCTTCCAAAATTCAGGTACTTTTGATCAAATTGTGATGTACTGTACATAAATATAATTGTCACTTCGCGATGTCTTGTGTGAGAATGTGCATGCATACCCCAGGGTCAATAATTTTAGTTTATGCGTGTAGGGGGTGATGGGAAGTAAGGTATCATGTTGCTGATTATGCTGATAAAATAAAAATGGTGGCCGTGTAAACACAGAGTGATAGCTGATACTTGTAAATATTTCGGCAGTTTTTATTGAAAATTTTCAACATAATTAGCAATACGATACTTTACTTCCCATCATGCCCTGCGCGCATAAATTAAAAGCTGGAATTGCCTACTTTGTTCAGTTTAGTGTACTACTGTAATTATTAAATAATATGCATCAAAATATACAGGGTGTATCAAAATAAACGCAATTCATCTTTTGTGCTTAATAACTTTCGAAATACTATTTCTAGTTAAACACTTTTAGGCTTACTTCAAAGCCTGTTCTTTTCTCTTTCAAACAAACTATTATCCTTGTCTCCAATGCTAGTAATAATTGCACAGGAAAAGATTTAGTAAAACCTATCATTTTAGTTGCTGTTTAATTATGCAAGTTTACTATGTTATTGTTTAGTCGGTTTAAATGTTAGAATTTTCTTCTTTAAACTTTAATGTTGTCGTCACTACATCTGGAAAGCCACGTAAGAACAAATTAAAAGTATTTTAAAAGAGACCAGGTTGTTTGAAAATCCTAAACGAATGCTAAAATCGTCAAAACATTCTGGTGTCTGAGCCAGAGTGTCATCGAATTGCGATGTAATGTAAACAGAAATTATAGCAAGTTGATGTCAGTCAGCTTAGATGGTCCAAGCCAAAATTATATCGCATTTGAAGTTTCAAACTGAGTTAAAAATAGCGGAAGAAAAGCCGTAATTATACTTATTGTTACAATCCATTTAATAAAATGCAACATTTTTTTGTTTTAATGAAAAAATCAGTTATTTTCATGAGAACTATTTGTTATTCCATCTCAATTTTTTTAATCTCCAATCGCAATAACGTAAAGTATTATTACCCGCGAACCAATGAGTCAAATTTAAGAAACAACCCATTGTTAGAAGGCTGAATGGCTACGCTTTAAAATGAATGTAAACTTTAACGTTTTCGTCTATTATTTGTTTAGCAATTTACATTTCAGTCGAGGATTGCGCTTTTTTTGATACACCCTGTAGTTTGGTTTATTCATAGCTTATCGAAGGGAAGACCGCTGTGCAATTCATTAGAATAACAATATAATTCATTATCTATGTCAGTCAACGTTTATTCATAAATCTGGTCCGTCACTGTCACGTCTGTATTGTATTTTTGCCCAACTAACCAATAGCAATGTTTTAGGAAAGTCACCTATCCGTGACTCGAACAATAGGGAAACTGGAAATTGCTATTGGTGGATTTGGTAAAAAGACAATACACACGTGACGGTGAAACGACCAGATTTATGAATAAACGTTGACTAACATAGATAATGAGTTATATTGTTATTAGTCTAACGAGTTTCACAGCCATCTTCCTTTCGATAGGCTGTGGTTTATTCTTGTATAGTACAATTTTTTATCAATAATTGTCTAGGAAGTTGAATCTTACCAAGATTTCAAGACTGCACAACCTATTATCTACAAAGTTGGCCTGGGGATGGGATACCTGGAATTACCTCAAGGTACACTATTGTGCTATTCTTATGCATACATGGCTTTCTAAAACCGACCGTTGTTTCATCTTTGAAACTTCATTTGTGTTATCAACCCTAGCGTTTGGCTTCGATTGATAACACGATCTTAAGACGATAGAGACGATATCATAAATGTCACAACTGAGCGCAGCGAACTAGGGAGCATTGATGATATCGTTCTGAAAGCGATAGACCTGATATCGCCTTGTCCCCTATATGATAATCTATTTATTATATACTTGTGCCTTTATCTAGGTCAGAATTTATTAGACTACTATAATTATTACCCCAATGCAATAATTATTAAAATTTAAAACAGTAGGACAAAAAAAGCGATATGAGTAACAAAAGACAATTATTAGGTGACATTTTTTTTGCTATATACTCTGTTATCGTCTTGATAAAGGCATGCATATTATATGTGATAATTTTTCATGTCATATATACGAAAACCGAATTCAATAATTGTTAAATTATAATATATCCCTCTAATTTCAGGCAACACTTGCCCATAGTCAACATTTCTAAAGTTGAACTGTAATGATTCTTACAAGTAGTACTGAAATTTAATTTTGTTTACATTTTCAGTGGAACCACATGGTAAACCATTACTTCAGTCAATGTTAGATAGCAAAGGAGTTTATATTATCGATTGTCATACAGAGATCTTTACCTGGTGAGTGTGGCAAATTTCCTTCGTAACGGTTAAACAGTAGGCTATGTTTTCTGTCTCGTTAAGCGAGCCAGCCCGGCTTCCATATAAACAGCCCCTAAAGGCCATTTTCCATTGCAGTCGCTTTGCCCGCGCGGGCGGAGCGACCAATTTTAGTCGTGTGAAAAGTCAGTCGCCCGGGCACGCCAAGAAAGTTGAACGTAGTTCTACTTTCATGGCGTGTCCGCGAGCATTCAGGTGGACAAAAAAATGCACAGGTTAAGCCCTGTTTAAACGGATCCAACATTGTTGGGCCAACATCATCCAACATTGTTGAAATAATGGCTCAAACGGCTTCTTTTTCAAATATTTTGTCAAGACTAGGTTTAGGGTTTGAGTAAAGCTTATCTAACCAAAAAGATTTGAAAGAGAAGCAGTCATATCTAGTATAGTAACATTGTTGGATGATGTTGGTCCAACAATGTTGGATCCGTTTAAACAGGCCTTTAGGCAATTACAGAGAAGGTTGAGTAATGTTCGCTCCGCCCGCGCGGGCAAAACGACTGCAATGGAAAATTGCCTTAACACCGCCTTTTAACATTGAAAATCTGCTTTTCTAATTCTATCCTCTAGGTTGGGTCGTAAATCACCTCGTTTGGTGAGAGCAGCCGCGCTGAAACTCGCTCAAGAAATGAAAACCATGATATCGAGACCTGAAGAAGCGATCGTTAGCAGAAACTTGGAAAAGTAAGAATTTGCTCTGCTGTTTGTATGCAAATGAAGTCACTAACAGTGGAACTAAACCTCTTCTGTTTTAAATGTTGGTCGAAATAAATTCAAATCAAATAATAATGTTTTAATAATTCAGGACAGAAAGTTGGATCTTTAAGTCCAAGTTTCATGGTTGGAATGATGTTCTACAAGTAGACTTTACAAGGACTGCTGAAACTGTAGCTAATAGAAGAAAACTACCCATTGCTAAGGTATTGTATATCTTTATAAGTGCAAACACCGAAATATTTTAGAATTTTTTCTTCAAAAATCCTTTACAAAATTGCATTCCAAAAATAATGTAATTTCTTTAATTGTCTCATTCAGACCAAAAGCAACACTGAAATAGAACTTCCCGAGCAAATTGCAAAGGTGAGTTTTATCGGTTCTAAATTGTTTATCCTAGAGATCCAGTGTTCCAGTATTACTACAGGAGGAAACCTAAACTGAACTAACTTTATTTATACTGGATAGTTCTATCAATTCTAAACTGTTCTTCCTAGAAGTCCAGTAAGGATCATCTCTTGCTGATCCAGTGTTACTACAGGAGGAAACCTAAACTAAACTATAACTTTATTAACCAGTTCTAAACTGTTCTTCCGAATCTAGTAAGGATTATTTCTTATTGATCCAGTGTTACTACAGGAGGAAACCTAAACTATAACTTTATTTATCAGTTCTAAACTGTTCTTCCGAATCTAGTAAGGATTTTGCATCTTCATTCAGGTTGATTTGACAGCTTTGTTCACCCAACGTCAAGCTCCTATGCCAGACTCTGAAGTGGTAAGAAATAGATTGTCAATTGATAATCCTTTTAGTATAATCTCCATAGTTACCTCGTTCTTTTATTATCAAGGAACAACTTATTGAAGAATGGAACGAAGATCTGGATGGAATGGAATGCTTCGTCCTTGAAGGAAGAAAGTTCACCAGGCTGCCTGAAGATGAAATCGGTAATGCAGCGTTTGTAATACAATAACTGTAATGGAGTAAAAGATGGTTTTAAAGGACCAAAAGTAGTTTAGAAAGAACTGTTAGCGCTATTGTATTTAAATAAAGTGGTTGTACTTATGACATGAATTTGATATTATGTCGATGTTTATATTTCCAGGACATTTCTACAGTGGAACGTGCTATGTATTTCTGTGTCGATATTTTGTTCCTGTGGAAGTGTCAGATGAAGAAGATGAGGAAGGCTCTCATGAAGAGCAGGAAGAAGATTTTCAATGTGTCGTTTACTTTTGGGAGGTAAAGAAAAGTCCGGATCAAACGAGGATGAGAGTTGAGAACGAGAGTTTGCACGAGAGTTTTCTCAACTCTCATGCTCCGGTCAAACGAGAACAAGAGTTGCATGAGAGTTGATGAGAGTTGATGAGAGTTGAGAAGCGAGAGTTTGTATAAGAGTTTTCTCAACTTTCATACCCTGGGGCAAACGAGAACAAGAGTTGCATGAGAGTTGATGAGAGTTGATGAGAGTTGAGAAGCGAGAGTTTGTATAAGAGTTTTCTCAACTTTCATCCCCTGGGTCAAACGAGAACAAGAGTTGCATGAGAGTTGATGAGAGTTGATGAGAGTTGAGAAGCGAGAGTTTGCATTAGAATTTTCTCAACTCTCATGCCCCGGTCAAACGAGAACAAGAGTTGCATGAGAGTTGATGAGAGTTGATGAGAGTTGAGAAGCGAGAGTTTGTATAAAAGTTTTCTCAACTTTCATACCCTGGGTCAAACGAGAGTAAGAGTTGAATGAGAGTTGATGAGAGTTGGCTGGATATTGCCGGTCAGACGAGCAAAAAATCTCATCAAATCTTATCAAAATTTCAACCAGCTTAAAGTTGATGAGAGTAACGCATATGCACGTGTATATAAAATACTTACCTTGTTGTTTTAGGGTCGTGATGCAGGCAACATGGGTTGGCTTACCTTCACGTTTAGGTAGGCGTTTCAGGCGTGAATGCGGTGACCTTAATATTCACGTTTACGGCAAAACGCCAACTGTAAACGTCAAATTCCAAATCGATTTTGAGCACAAGTTCCACACAATTTCTACAACTAAGTAACTAATGTATGCTTTAATTTTGTTCTGCAAACTTCTTAGCGACGTCTCGCAATGCTATTCAAAGTTTGCCGTTAGCAGTTTGACGTATAAAACGTGAACCTTACGGTCTCGAATATTAGCCCTTGAACTTGAAAAGGGGTCGACATGTGCCCACATTTCAGAAAAGTCGCTAACTAAATTTGAGGTGAATTTTTGGTACTGCCTGAAAACGGTTGGGCTCTGGCAGGTTAAGTTGCCCTTCCTAACGCGGCGGCCTAGTCAACACGATTTTGTTTCTGCTTTGTGTAGTCTTCAAAAGAAGTTTGAAGCTTTATTTGGAGAAAAGCTTGAAGTTGTTCGAACTCCTCAGGTTGCTATAAATTCTTATTATTCTGGTTTATTAGTTCTTATTGTAATATAGGGGCCAGTAATATAATGTTCAATGCTGGACTAGCGCTAACCCTGGGTTATAATATAACCTGCTTGATTTGTGTATTTCTGTTGGGAAGAATTTGTCGTTAACGCAGGATTAAACCAACCGGTTTTCAAACAACAGGCCCCAGTATGATATAAAATAAGCTTGCAGTATGATCAGTTAACAGCCTACGATGATTGCATTTAATAATGTAAACCAGGGATAGATCCAGATCTGGTAGGGGTGATGCGCCATGCTCATGATTTGAGGTACGACCGTTGGCGTTGACTAAGTGCATAATCACTAGAGTAGTGATTGGTAGTAGCTTAGTGGACAGCAGTGTTTTGGGAAATTGGAGACACATTGCCCCTGACAGCGTCCAAAGGCCAAGCTGAGTTACGGATTGTGAGATAAGGAAATGGCACCCCCGTTCCGCCCTGCTTTGCTAAGGCCAGGAGAGTTTCACACCACCGCAACTCCCCCTGATGTAATTTGTGTTAATTTCTTTTCAGCAAAGAGAAGCCCCACGATTCTTGGCTCACTTTAAAGGCCGCTTTATTATACACAAGGTAAACAGCGTGTATTGAAGCAGTATTCAGTGGGTATCAGTTCACTTGTCGACAATCACTATTCGTTTCTAACGTCTTGGTTGTGATGAAAATAGTGTCTTAGAATAGTGCTAGATTAAATTATTATTTGTTTAGGGCAAACGACATCCTAAAATACCCGAGGAAGAGAAACCCAAACCAGAATTGTTTCACATCAGAGCCAATGGAGGAAACCTTTATAAAAGAGCAATTCAGGTAAGTCCCAGATCCAGATCCGTGTAAATCTTATCAACTGGACTAACTTTGGAGTGTTACTACAGGAGGAAACCTAAACTAACTTTATTTATACTGGATAGCTTTATCAGTTCTAAACTGTTCTTCCTAGAGGTCCAGTAAGGATCATCTCTTATTGATCTAGTGTTACCATAGGAGGAAAGCTTAACTAAGCTAATTTTATTTATTCTGGATAGCTTATCAGTTCTAAACTGTTCTCCCTAGAGGTCCAGCAAGGATCATTTCTTATTGATCCAGTGTTTACTACAGGCGGAAACCTAAACTAAACTAACTGTATTTATACTGGATAGCTTTATCAGTTCTAAACTGTTCTTCCTAGAGGTCCAGTAAGGATCATCTCTTATTGATCCAGTGAGGATCATCTCTTATTGATCCAGGAGGAAACCTAAATTAATAGATTTATTTATACTAGATTAAAATAGGTTTATCAGTTCTAAACTGTTCTCCCCAGAGATCCACTAAAGGTCATCTCTTATTGATCCAGTGTTACTAACACGGGGATACACATATCACTGTCAAAATCATGGCTTAATAAAAAAAATTGTCTTTGAATATAGATTCCGGCTGATCCGAAACTATTGAACGCCGAGTTCAGGTATGTAGCTAGTATTTTCTTTATATCTCCTGTACATTTATATATTACATTTTTTCAGGGTATTAAAGTAGCCTATGTACAAAATTAATATATTTTGGTTGAAAATTCGGGATTAATATTTGGTTGAAAATTCTCTATTTGAAAGGGTTCTTGATATGATGATCACTTTAGGAAATGGACAGTTGGATTCACCCTGCTTTTTTGTGTACTTTTTAGTTATATCCTCAAAGTTCCATTTGATAACGACAGTGGTGGTATTGTGTATGTCTGGAATGGAGGGTAGGTCAAGGCCACCGGTTGGTTGTTCAAAGCTGGATTAGCGCTAACCCTCGGCTAAAGTTTAATTTGCTGTTTTCGTTCATGAATTTCTGCACGTCTGTTAATTTCAAAACTTCAGAGAAGAAATCTGATCCAGACAATATTTCTGAAGAAATATTTCAAATTTATAACCAAACTATTAGGAAGTTTGCTTTGAATTGTAAGTTAACCTTGGGTAAACCTAATCGACATTCGAACAACCGACCCCAGGTCTACACAATACGATTAGTCGAATACATTTGTCATCCTGGCGTATGAAAATTACCGCTGGTGGCACAATTCCTCTACATTTATTCACGTGTGTTTATTCGATTACATGCGCCAGAATGAGAATCGTTACTACTAGAAATTGTAAGAAACTGGTTATAATGAAATAAAAAGGCAGTAATACATTGTAGTGACATTTTACAACCTCAGATCAGGTTATTTTTATCGCACTCTCTTGCTATTACGGCCACCAAATGAGCGTGGCCCGCGTGTCCGCTATAGCTAGGGTTGAGTGTTTACTGCACAGCACCAGTGATCAATCTTTTTTTAATTTCAGTAAGGTGAGCGACGATGATGCAAGTCAAGCGACGGACATTGGACAAGAAATATGGAGCGTAAGTTAGGAATCATTGTGTGTGTTGGGTGGGTGCGGAGGGGCGGACCATTAGAAAAGTGATGGAGAGGGGGAATTTTCGACATGCACTTCCACCCCACCTCCCATCACTTTTTTATAATGGTCCGCCCCTATGTTCGATAAAGATCTGGTGCCTCGCTGCTTCCCGGGTAGGGAGGAGGTGGGGGTTCGGGCCTTTCCAATGACTAGTGCATACTGAATACCGTAGCTCTAATGAATTTTTTCCAGGACGTTTCTTCGATACAAACAATACGTGAAGGTGGTGAACCTGAGAACTTCTTCTGGGTTGCATTGGGAGGAAAAACCGAGTACGATCAAGTAAGTATCTTGAAAAACTAGTGCCTTCTTGGTTAGAAATGGCTCGGCGGAGAACTTAAATTGAACATACGAGTTATTTCATCATTTTAGGCAGCAGATTATATGCGGACCTGTCGTCTTTTCCGTTGTTCCAACGAGCAAGGATACTTCAAAGTCTCAGAAAAGTGTTCCGATTTCTGTCAGGTGATGCCAGTTTTAACTACCACTAGTCCTATATAGATGTTTCGAATTTGTTTACCACGCGGTTTAGAACTTCTCAATTTCCACATGTATACTTAAATTATTCCTGACTGTTGTATTTTATTCAGGATGACTTGGCCGATGATGACTGCATGATTCTGGACAGTGGGGATGAGGTAGGCCTAATGAATGTTTTTAGTGAAATATTTATTTCCTCCTTGTTTACATTTTTGCAACTTTGCAAAATTTCAAAATTACCCGCACACGGGCCAAATATTGCAAATTAGAGAAGTACTTGACGTCTTTTGTTACAGGTCTTTTTATGGTTTGGAAACCAAGCGAGTCATGTCGAGAAAAAATTAACCTTCAAAAGTGCTCAGGTAGTTATATTACCTATATGTATCCATCTTTATTACGCACACCCCCCTCCCCCTTCCCAGGACATGGTGCACCCCTAATGGTATTACTCTCTATTTTTATCTGTTAAGGTCTATATTCAATATCTATACGAACACAAAGTTGGCAATCCTCGCAAACTAAGATTTACCCAGAAAGGAGAGGAACCACACGAGTTTACACGCTGCTTTCATGGATGGAGTGATTTCCATATTCCTCATGCTTAGCCTTCGATACAGAAGAGCAAGTATTACTAAGGATAATGACAACAGATTGGGCCAATAATGGTATACGAAGGTTTTGCCTAGACTACATATCCGTGCATGGCTATGGCAAGAAGATGGCGTAAGTAGAACGTTGAGTGTGTGTAACACATTGAGTGAAATTTGAGTGTATATAAAATAATACAAATATTAGTATCCCAAGGAAAAGACAGTGTAAGTGAAGAGATTTGTAAAGGCCTGTTATGACACTCATTTCGTTATATTTATTTAATTTATATATAATTTGTGAAAAGTTATTTAGTTTGAACTTTATATAGACAATTTTTGACAACAGCTTTTCACCGATATATATTGCATTTATTGATACGTTTCGACTGCATGTCCTTCGTCAGTCTATATAATATCTTAGGCTTCGTGCGATTTTCTTCTGATTCATGTGAACGAGCAACCTCGTACCCAGGCTATTTTCTCTCATACTCGGTGCCACGGCAAGACCCTGGGTACGAGGATGGTGAACGAGTGTAGAGCGTTTGCACATGACGTCACAGCCGCCATGTTGGTGTTCCAATTCAAAAGAATTTTAATTAGACTCTTTTGTCAGGAACCGACATGGCTTTTGTTGAGTTGGTACCTGGGGAACGAGTGCAAATGCTCTATAGATGAGTTGTGTTCGAAGTATATGTGCCGTCGTGACCTCATCTGAATATTTATAACTCAGCCACTCGTTCACATACATCAGAAGAAGAAATTCGCATCTAATTGCAAGTGTAAACAGGCCTAAGGATGAGACTGCTGCCCGGTCAAGCCTAAGATTGCATGCTCAGGCGAATGTTGGCGCGGTTAAAAATCTAAAAAAGTTTGGTTCGGGATGGAAAATTATCTTATTTTACTACAGCATTAGCGGGAAATGCAACAGGAATATAGATTTATGTAGGATAATATGATATGACCGCAATTATGACAAATAAAATTAACTCAAGAATTGTATATTGAAATTGTAAGTTTATTTTTACAATCAGAGAATTACATTAGATGTATTTCACAGAAATCACATTTGAATCATTGCACTAAAATTTGATAAATTACACATCTACACTTTTTTCCAACAAGCATTTTATAAAACACGATTAATCATCAGCGAATGTACAATATCAAATGTTATATGGTTACATAAAAAAGTTAGACTTCGCTGCCCCCCTATATCAGGCCCAGCCAGGGCATTGCCAGAATACCAATATACTCGATAATATATACTGGCTCAATATACCAGTGTACCTAAAATTCCAGGAATACGTTAGTCTGCCTGGGTACTTGATCTTGGGTAAATGTAGGATACTTTATACCCATATTTCAATCTATTTTAACAATAAAATACTGTATATACCAAAAGTAAAATGGTCTAAATACCGATATACTTGAAATCCCTGGCCTGCCATATCATGGAAGTATATTTATTTATGATTTACGATATATAGGTTAAATTCTAATTTCTTATATATATAACTGCATATACTGTACAAAAATCTAAAGCACGACGCAAAATGCATTGCACCAGTAATTATAGAAACCTCATCAAATATTACTGTATCATACAACTTTTGACTTCATTTGCACTCCAGAGTTCGTCTTTTTACTCTGTCCTCATTATACAGTCTTTCACTTCAACTCAACTTGAATTTGGGGCATGAAAGCGATTTCTTACTGTCATTCCATAATGTCCTATAGGCGTCAATCACACATACCATAACGTCCGATTAAAACCTTGTGCTGTGAACAAAACACAAAAACATTTGTGATTTAAACTTCGATTTGAATGTATATTGCAGCTGTATGTGTTATTTGTATGCCCAGCTTCTATTAAATCATAAAAATAAGACATTTCTGAATTATTCACATACCTATGCCATATACAGCTTGTTTTGCCTATACAAAAATATATAAGAAATAAGGTTGTACAGAAGTTAGATAAGGTACAGTAGGATAGTCCGAAATACACTACAATGACGTCTTCCCATTGTTTTGAAAATCCCACTGTTCTCCATGCCATCCAGTCATGATCTAGTGACCAAAATGTTCCATTGTTTTTTCATTGTTTTGAAATTCTCACTGTTCTCCATTCTCTCCAGTCATGATCCAGTGATCAGAATGTTTCATTGTCTTTCATTGTTTTGAAAATCACACTGTTCTCCATGCCATCCAGTCACTAATTTGACACATTTGTGACGTTTGCAGTGGGTCTATGCATATAATACTTAATCAATATAAAACATTTTCCGTGTTGATATATTTATATCAACACGAGTGGAAATTGGGAAAACGAGAAATTGTGTGGAAACACGACGCCCGAAGGGCGGAGTGTTTTCACTCAATTTCGAGTTTTCCCAATTTCCACGAGTGTTGATATAACTGTATATCAATACGGAAAAAGTTTTATATTTGTTTTATAATATAGCACAAAGAAACATAAAGAAAGAAATTTTCCGACGTTTCCGTGTTGACATTGACTTATATCAACACGGCTCTTAGCCAATCAGCGTTCAGAATTTACAAATGCTATATTATAATATGACATACAGTATTGTATAGACAAGCTATATATATTAATACCTGTATAATAAAGTGCATACTGACCTGAGCTTCAGAGTCAACCGTAAATACATAACAAGTAAAATTCTTGGATATTGTACACGTTGTATCTCTAAATGTTAAGATGGAAAAAAAATTGATATAAAATCAGTCCATCCAGTGCTATACTTGAGGACAGTAGTCTCGTCATGTGTCAAGTACAGTACACAAGTACTTATAACTAAATATTGTACTCGTTTAAGCGCCTCCCTCAAAGCGGCGCGCAAGTAAAGTGTCTGTCATAATGTAAATACCCACCCTGAGATATAGGCAAATATATTTTGGTTTACTTTTCCTCGGCCACATGCTGAGGTGACTGTATAAGAGTGAATAGCCAACGTCTGAAACACAAAAATATACAGTGGTATTAAACTATATAACACACCTTAGGATTCTTATCTGAATTAGAAGGACATGGGATGAGGCTACCTCCAAATTCAAAATTTGCGCTTTAAAACTACACTGTTCTCAACTTACGACCACCTTAAATGGAATACATTTCAAGTTTGTTTCTCACGGGCCTATGGTCAGAAGCAGAACATCCTTCGTCAACACATGCATAAAAAAGAATTTTGGATTTTGACTATTACTGTACTGTACTGTAAATGTGGAAATAAGCTTAAACACGAAAACGAGGCTGAGGAGCCATGGCCCCTCTTGGCCCCCCTAACTTGAAAACAGTGTTAGTCGTGACGTGATTACCGGAAAGATCTATTAACAAGCATGAAGTTACAGGCTAACTCCTAAAATAATTTTTGAAGTTGGCCTGTAAATATTCTTGGAGAAATGAATTGTGAGATGTTGCCGGCTGAATCCTATCATAATCCTCAACCATGATTTTAGTTCTATCCAGTGAGATGCCCAAAGATCCTGTTATATCCTACAACTAACCTTATTTGTCTCTTTGTCTTGAATTTCAATGCTTGTTTCACCAAGTTTCACTAAAACTGCCTGTATATTTTGACGAAAAAAATGGTAAAACCGTATGTTGCAAGGTTGTTCCAACAAGTTTGCTACAGTCTTGATATAACAATATTGTTACAACCTTGTGTGGTCAACCTTGTAACATTCTTGTTATATCATGACTGTATCAGACTTGTCAGAACAACCTTGTAACAAGTCTGATAATGCCATCAAGCTTGTTACAAGTTGCTAACAGCTTGTTCCAAACTTGTTACAACAACTGGGAACAAGCAGTGCGAACACAACTTGTCGACAGCTTGTGAACAGATTTGTAACAACTTGTCTGCAGACCTGTAACAACAATTTAATTGTGCGTTTTTACTAGTGTAATCCACATTACTTCTCACATATTTTACACAACACGTACCAAAGGTTCATTCTTTTGGTCAACTACTGTCAATATCGATGGTTCTATATAGTTCAAGTCACCCGTCTGAAACAAAATCAAGTTGTAATTTCAAATTTTAAAACGCATTATATTAAAATATGTAAAAGCGTCAACGTATGTCAAACTTAATCACCTCTCCTGTTTTATTCTTGCCAATGTATTTTGCCTCGAAACACAAACTACAAAACGGATTGGAAAAGTAGTAAATCTATATTCTTTACATACACCGACTATTTATTGATCACATATCGTATTTCAGTTGTTGAAATTAGTTAAACCAGCGATGCATAGCAGAGAATATATATATTTCCATGTCCAAGGGCTTTCTTCGTTATAGTCTAACAGCAAGGGGGATCAATCATTCGGGCGCATTGCAGTTTAATTGAGTTACAATTTAGGCAAGATTTTCTGATCCGAGTTCGCGAAATCGATTTTTCATTTCATATTTGGCAGAAATGGACGCCAGAACTCTTCATGCTCAAATTGGTGTCTATAACATATTTCACTGTTTTCACAATTCAACTAAATTCTCAAACCGCTGTAACTCCCGCCCTGAATATCCAAACAACACGAAATTTTCGGTATATACACTAATTTGAGCATTTCAATTCTGAGCTTTTCCCAGTTCGGAGAATGGTTTGGCAAGCTCATTAATGTCCAAGGACCTTCCCTTGACGAGCAACATAATCTGGTAACAGTCAGTAAAAGCTAGCCTGTAGATGCAGTATTATGCATGCTATATTCTATAGACAGGCTAGTAAAAGTAAGCTTGCAATCAGACTTACTTTCCCTTAGAAACGCCATGAACTGGAGTTTCGTTAAAACTCGACACATTGCACGATGTTATTGCCTGTTTACAGCCGCCATTTTTCTGTTGGTATTTCTGTAAGAAGAATTCCTCGCTCTCCAGTAGCTTTTTTCGTTGTTCAAGAGGCAGAAACAATTGTCCATTTGACATTTTCACCTAAAACACGTATGTGTTATACACTGTTAATAACAGATGTGCATCATTCAATAGCAATAAGATTTTCATCCTAAAAAAATAACTTTGTTCCAGACTTGTCACAAGAACTGGGAACAAGCTGTGCGAACACATCCTGATATAGCCTTGACAGCAGCCTTATTACTACAACTTGTTTGCAGATATGTAACAACTTGTGCGTTTTTACGGGTGTAAGACAAACTACCAGTTACTACCAGAAAAATGTCAGGCTATTCTAGCAAGAGAATGTTATTCTAGCAAGCTTGCATGTGTTGTTGTACAAAGAGAGATGGTCCGTTAGATCAGTGTTGCGCCTTGACGGAAATTCTACGTTCAAAAATTTACGAAGGAAAATCACCTTAGCAAGTATCAACGAAATAGGTTGTCCGTGGTTTTGTTTCAGCGTGTCTGCCACCTGAAAAAATTAACGAAATTTATACACCATTTATTCATAAGCATAATTTTAACATAGATTTTCAAATTTTCTCCTAACCTGACCAACTTTTTGACCCCAACAAACTTTTCCACACAAGTTAAGTAGACAGTCACCCACAGCCATATTGTTCTAGATAAGAGTTATATAGTACAAGTACTACTGGTTAATATTATATTTTGGCATGGTGGAAAAGTCTGAGTACGAAGTCTGTTAGCCTGCTCACAGAGCCTCTGCCTGACAAACGGCCTGCGAGCAGGCTAGGAGTCTGTCAAAAAATTGTTTATTTCGCCTAGATTCTCATAAACAATCGAATCTTTAGGCAAAATAAACATTTTTTGACTCTGTACTCCAACTTCATACTCCGTCTTTCCCACCACGCCATGTTTAAATGCTTATTTTTCAATAGTACATTGTGTTACAGTAGGTGACTTATTCAATTTTGCGCACCGGAAATTTATGCGATTCAATTTTGCGCACTGCAAATTTGCGCGATTCAATTTTGCGCACTGCATATTTGCGCGATTCAATTTTGCGCACTGCATATTTGCGCGATTCAATTTTGCGCACCATGGAGGCAAGATTTATTTGCGCAGATTTTATCCTGTGCACCTAACATTTCTGCAAGCAAGACCTTTAGACTTAATTAATGTTCAATCAATATCTGTAAATGGAATGCAGATTTTGTCCTGATTTACCAGTTGGTGTGCAAATTCCGAAGTGAAAAAATGGAACGGAATGAATTTGTTTACAGCTCAGATTAATAATCTTAATTACCTCCTCTCCGACACTGTCAGGCAGGACGTGTGCAATGACTGCTCGACCGTCTACTTGACTTTAAAAGGTAAAGGAAAGATGAAATTTAGTTTCATAGTTTGATAGTGAATGGTCAGAATATATTGCAGGCATGGTAAATGAATGATGAAATTTAGTTTCATAGTTTGATGGTGAATGGTCAGAATATATTGCGGCATTAAACATATGCAGTACCTCACTGTAATTCCTAACTGAGTGCAAGGAACAGTTAATACATCTTCTCGTTTCTGCAACACAGGAAAGAAGATTGTTCAATTCTTTAGTTGCACTAAAATATTAATACTGTAAGTTTTGAAATTTACTATAGGTTATACAGGTACTTACTGGTATTTCCCAACTTTCATTCAAAAATTCCACAGCCTAAACAATTGTTATTTTGAAACAAAAATTTATGTTAAATTGATACAGTCTACTGTATATACACTGTTCAAATAGGTTGTTATAGAATACAGTTCAAATATTTGAAATGCAGTGTACCTTAAGATTTAAATCAAAATCCAGCTTGCTAATCTCCTGCAGATGTTCTAACAATGATTCTAGCAAAAAAGAATGTATTTGTTAAATGGTGGGAGGGGATGATAAACAACTTAACATTAAGGGTCATGGTTGTTTTTACTACATGGTGATTTAACCAGTACTGGTTTAATACCTCGTAAATGTGCTGTACCAAGAAACGAGCTTTCAGTGTAAAAGTTCTGCAAAATGTAAAAAAATTGAAATATATTATGACATACATATGGTAATTGCATTATTGCAAAACTACTGTATTTTGCATGTTATCAAAAAAGGACAATTAAATCATTGAGTTCCATCACAGAATGGCCAATAAATTGCAAGACACAAGATCCGTGATACAAGATTCTTTTAAGTTATCTAAAATAAAATTTCTGCTCTGCACATCAGTACTGGATAATATTGCAGTAAAGTGCAATTATTGTAAAACACTGCTCCTGTTTTACAATTACAATGTCATAGGGACAGTTCATGTTGGAAAAGTTTTGCCCAGGGCCATGCGAAACCTCTCGGCAGCCCTGGCTATGAGATGGCATGTACTGTATACATAGGAGCTTGCTATTGTTATGCACACATGGTACAATGCAATGACATCACCACATCCAGACATGCGTGAAATGGCATGGGGTCATGTTTTTGTACCTGTAGGAGTGAGCGATTATTGTTCAAAACCTCCACAGGGCTATGCAAGCATTTCTTTACTAGTGCCATTCTTATAAACAGTCTGCCTTTAGTTTCTATTGGCCAGATCTATAAACAATTGAAAAATGATTGAATGATTATAACTTATAAGACAACATAATACTGCTAAAGTCTATTGCAGGTTGGTTGAGGTTGATGAGATGATCAACATTATTTGCATGTAAAGTTTGGCTATTTTCACGTTATTTTAATTTAATTAACAATAAAATCGTAAACCTAGCTAGTCTACACACCCAACCCCAGTATTTATCCTGAGCAAACATCAACCACTAACCTGCACCAATATTTACCTATGGCTTAATCAAAAAGCATTGATGGATTGGTCATCAAAAAAACCCAACTTAATGTACAGTACTTACCTTTGTTGAGCTGTCAACAGTGTTCACAATATATGCCAGCTTAGGATCATTGCTAAACATTTTGAGGAAAAAAAATACAGTAGACACATGTGTATAGATAACATTGCAAACGACATTGTGCAGTAATTTAGTGGATTATACCTTCCACAATTTTGAAGAAATTTAGGGATACCAGCAATCCAATTCCAATAGTGCTTCTGTTTGAATACTAACACACTTCCTGTGAACAAATAAAATTATAAAATTAACCCAATGACTGGCAGCACTTGAGAGTCTCCTTGACAAGTAAAATCATCTGATGTTAGACAGAGTAAAATAATAAAGTAGGGCGCATCTGGGTGCATGACCAGATAGTCTGATTAACTCAATGAGTGGCAGCACTCCCCCCTGTAAAATAATCTAGAGTTAGACAGAGTAAAATACTCTGGCGTTAGACAGAGTAAAATAATAAAGTAGGGTGCATCTGGGCACATTGCCACTTATAGGGTTAAATATTGCATAATTGACTAGATTTATAGTAGAGACGGGCGATCTGTCTTGATGAACTTGGACAAAAAAAGGTAGTTCCTCTAGTAGTTCATTTAAATTATTTCTATATGAATGTGGGGTGAATCACATTGATCAATGGTCAAGATGAATCATTTGTCTGAGAGGCTGTTTTAAATACATGATTGCAGTTTGCAAGGACTGGATGGAAGCCTGGGATGATCCTGATGTATTGAAATAAATCACTTGGCTTAAACGAAAATTCAAATGCCAGTTAGAGGAACAGAAATGTTGGTGAAAAGATCTTGTAGTTAAAGAACATTAGTATTGCTGCTTGAACAACCTTCTGTTTACAATTATACTATGATCTATCGCTAGAGTGATTTATTTCGAATACATCAAAATCATCCCGCCTCACATCTTGTTCTGGCGAAGCGGAATCATATAAACAGCCCCGGAACAAGATGAACAGTGTAGATCATCTGGACAAGATGATGTGTCAGTTTGCCAGATGGACATATTACCTGAAATTGACCTTGTTGCTAAATTGCCTGTCACACTTCGCTGCTTTTGTGCAAAATGTTTGCAAATATTTAGTCATATAATATACTGTAAATGTACCCTTTTATAAACTAAAAGTTTACGCAATTCTAAAACATAACCAATATATTATATTACATTATAATACGAATACAGTCAGTATAGCTATATTCTTTCGAAGCGACACAAAGGATTTCATAACTTATAAAATTTTTATACGCATCAATGATTTGCTTTGCTCTACGTAACATATAAATATAAAAAATATAGCTCATACTTCGCGCTCCTTCCAGTAAAATCTGCTCAAATGTCGCACAAAAGCTTTGCAACGGTAAGTTGTCATCCTTTATCGCATCTGTGCTCGCTTTTAGTTGCTCGACACAATCTAAAAGCAAAAAATACAACATGCAATTTGAAACTGTCAAATTGCAATCGCACGCGAACGCAACAAAACATCTTTGTTAATTTTAAGACAAAAAAACATACCTTCTAAATTGCTCAACAGCGTATATTGGTTGAGATTGTGACTCTTTTTAGATAATCCAAAAGACATTGTCGAAAAAATCCGTCTAAAAAACCTTTTGTCCACCAAATATGATTTTGACACACGCGATCAGAATATCTCAAAACAGCAGATGCATCGTTTAATCTGTGGACAATAATTGACCAAAATTTTGCATACTGTTTCGCATCAATGATTGATAACTTCTCTAGATTGCATAGTAGCGCCACATCTAAGCATCAGACCGTAAAAAAGGGTAAAAATTTACATAAAAACGGATTAAAACCAACACAATAAAGTGGCAACAAGTGGTCACGATCGATGTCTGGTATTTAAATAAACTGATCGCAAAATTTTAAGTGGATAGTTATTTGGTATCCATATGATCTCGAAATTAGCCACTGGATGGAGGAATCTGTCTGAGTCGATGGCAAAGCTAGATTTATGCACAACTGGATTTAACAGCTCATTTATAAAGTACAATTGTGATTAGTTGTCTTCCGTGGTTCGAGGAATTTTTCCCTTTTTCTCTCACAAAAAAGGTGAAAACCAACCCTGCCATTAGTTGTCCTACATTGGCAAGAAGAAGGCCCTAGTACAGTAGTAAACTTTCGACTCGGTCACACTTGCCCTGGGTTTGGTTACGTGCTTCGCAAGCTAAATTCAGTAAATATATTGCAAAAGCACATTCTGTTTTGTGTTGAGATCAGTGTTGAAATGCCGCGGGTTAATCTCGCGCGTTTTCTTTCAAAATACCTCGTGGGGTTATCTCGCGCGTTTCCTCAAAACACCGCCAAAATTTAAAGGTGTGTAAAATTTCTAAATATTTCCTTTATTTACTCGTTCTACGTTGTAAAAATATTACAGATATAACAAGTTGTTATTCAGCTACCTTTTGGCTCAAAATTAAGGAAAAGAAACGAACTTTATATAATAATATATTTCAATAACAACAAATACCAAACAGGCATATATGAAAACATTTACATATAAGTACCTAATGTACTGTAAACTAAACAATAAAGTACGTACCATATAGTTCATGGTTAGGAGTGCGACATGCGTACTAATATTGATTAACTCTAATATATAATATAAAATCTAATAAACTATTGGGTATTATAATATTAAAGCTAGAAATTCTACAAAAGACTATCGTACATTGCGAGAGTATCATGAAAGTATATTGAAATTATTTTCATGATAGACTTATCATGTACATTTAGTATATACAGAAATAAGTTTTTTGTATCAATTGAACGGAAGGATGAGTTGATTTTGCATATATCTGTTACAAAAGTATTTCGGAGTTTTACAAATTCGTTATTGGGGCATGACATTAAATAGTGAAATTCATCGCCGATTTCGTCTGATTGACATAACGTGCACTTTCGCTCATTGTAGGGGTTTTGTTATATCGGCCAGATTCAACTGGTAATTTATGTGCGGATATTCTTAATTTCGTTATTGCCTGACGATGTTTGACATTACAAATTACGTGAAGGTATTCCTCGAATCTGAAATTATTCTTAACTTGTACGAGAGTTCTTAATTTACCATTAGAACGACTTTCTTGAAATTGACCTTTCCAGTAATTAATAAAGTAATCAACTAGTCTATTTTTTATATATTTACCTAAATTTTTCAAACTTTCAAGTTCTAAATAAATGTGGTCTAGCGATCTCAAATCACTTACTTTTAATATATAGTTTATAAAAGTAATGGCCTGAGAATTGGATCGAATATTAAAGCGTGCTGCTTTACCCACCAGAGTATTTATATAACTAGTAATAATCTTAGATTAGTGAAGTGCGTTCGGTCACAGAGGTTCGGTGTAGAGTAGACGTTGTCCAAAATGTTGTTATTGCATCATAGGGTAGTTATCAAAAGTGGGCCAGATGCCATCATTTGGAAACAACTGATTTTTTATTGCATCTACTTCTCTTTACTGTTTTTCACAGGCTGGCATAAGCTATTCATTTCTGTTGTCACATTGTACATTAACTTTGTCTTCAATGTTATCACTGGAAGGGCCTACTGTAAATCAGGCGATATTATTTCATGTGTCCAAATATCATTTTCATACTCAACTGTCATATCAGATGGAACACTACCAATAGGGAGTGATTCTAAGGCAATGTTGATTGATAGTCACATTACTATAATGTAGATTATTTCTCAAAAGCCATAGCATTATAGCATTAATGCAAGTTGCACTTTTTCTTACTTCTGACCTTAACATCCTTAAATATGTTATCTTTACCCTTTATCTTAACTATAATAATAGACCCTGGGATGACTTAGCAAAACTGATGTAAGCTCTTCAACATGTTGCTCAAGGCAAATTAATGCAATGAACTGATTACACCCTTTTGCCTGCCTGGTTTATGATATAAACCCTAATTATAGGCGAGCTCGAGGTATGAGCATTTCTTCAGTTTGAGTTTATAGGCCTTGCAACTCAACTAAATAGAATTTTGTGCCCCTGGTGTAAAGGATTTAAAATGCTTGCATTAGCATTTGGACTGGAATCAGTAATATGAATAGTGCAGCTTAAAG